TGGAGGTAGGGGTGGGGGCAGGCTGGTCGCAGCATCGGCTGAGCCTGGAACCTCCCAGGACAGAGGCAGAATCCTTTGAGGAAGCTGGTGGGGCAGAGGAGTGGGGGAGCATCTGGAAAAGCCAGAGAGGGGAGAGAGAGTGGGGATGCTTGGGGTGACGCCAAGGCCAGAGGCATTTAGGTCTCAGCTGCAGAAGGGCCAGACTTTAAAAAGGGGGGGACGCGGCTGGACTTTAAAAGGGGGCGGGGCTGGAAGGGAGGGCGTTTATTTCGCTTTCCAGGGAGTACTGAGGCCTGGCCCATCAGTGCCCACGCTACAGGAGATGTGCTAGACAGCGGCTTCCTAAGCCAAAATCAAATCGCCAAGATTCTTCCAGGAAAGGGCCCCTCTTGTCCCCTTTCCCATGAGAAGAAGCAAGCCTGGAGGCCCAGGTTGGCACACCACCCTCCCAGGAGCCAGCTGTGCGGAGGCCTGAGTCCAGGGTTACGGTCATCTCCGGGACTGCCATCGCCACAGTCACCCCAGGCTGTAGGGCCCAAGGCCTGGTTTGGCAGGTACTTTAACTGGGAAGTGCAGGTTGCTTGGAAACAGCAGCCTGGCACTGGAGTGATCTCACAAAACAAACAGCAGAGATGCTAATTCCCTTCTCTCAGTAACGAATAATCAAATACCCAGAGACTTCGGCTGAAAATAAACCACCTCCAGATGCCAGGCCTGACCTGGCTCCACCCGGGTCCTCCCAGGCCTGCAGCCCCAGCGGCCTCAGGCATCAGTTCCCAATGCTGGGGAGGGAAGGTGGTGGGTAGTAGATTCATGGCCAGGCCTGTGGAGCTGAGACCAGAAGAGGGGACAGCCAGGTCCACGTGACAAAGATAAACTGTGACAGCGTTTCCAGCAACCCTGGGCTTGCTCTCTTCTACTCCTGAGGGATGAGGAGAGGATGCCCCCTAGGCCACTCAGCTCAGGCGAGCAGGCAGTGATGGCAGGTGTTCATCATCCCTGAATGGGA